GAGAGAGAGAGAGAGTGCGCAACGAGTGATATGCAAGAGGAAAAGAAGGAGAAAGAGGAGAAGTAGAAGGCAAGATAGAAAAAGAGCCAGCCGGTGTGTTCGCGAGGGACGTAAGTGACCTCGTTGCAGGCCCCTCGATATTTGCTCGGCTGCGCCTGCGAGTTGGTCCCTGCCCGCCCGTCTGCAGAAAAACCATCGGGAATCGATTTCCTTTCGAGATATTGCCTTTCGATTTGACATCCGGAGTCGATGACCCTCCGAGCTGTCGGGGGAACTTCCTCGAATCGTTAAACCTCGGCAACACGCTCCTTGTCGTTATGCGTTTAAACTTTGAACCCGAGAGTTCTTTCTAATTATTTTCCGATCGCCATAGGCACTGCTCGTCGCGAACCTTCGTAAAGAAACGAAGAACGTAATTTCCAATCAGTTACTGAGATTTTTATCGATTTGAAACAAAAGTTGCTTTTGCGAGACTAATAATTAATGATTTAACAATGACTTGTGACATAATCGATCTCTTTGGATAATAATCTCTTTTAATCAAGCAGAATCGTCCGCAAAACTTTACGGTGCTAAGAAAGAGTTAAGTACAAAGATAACAAGAGTCAATCAGAAGTAGGATGAACGGCGGGCAGGATAATTTCGAGGGTGCAACGTTGTCGCTTAGCGTTCACAAGATTAATTAGATGATTATGTAATTAAAAGGCCGCGCGTTATTGTCCTTGTCGGCGAGGCGACGAGCTCGTCCAGTAACGAAAAAGATCGATCGTTTTTTCACGTATTTCGTATGTGATTAAAACTAAATTTTCACATACCTACATTTACACATATTTTATATCTCCTGAAATTTAACAATCTATTTTAATTGATTTTTTTTAAAGGATTTGTATTCATTTTGATTTACTTCTCATCGACAAGATTAACTTGAACAATAGAGTGATCAATGTTAATAAAACGCGCTATCGGAGCTTCGCTTCGGAATATTAGGTTACTATAAAGTTTTTATACAGCAAAATATTGTCAAGATAACATTTTACAACAAAAATTTATCTCTTTTATCAGTCACAACCGCCTTCCTTCGTCAAAGATTGCCTACAAAAATAAAGAATTATAAATTGCATTTTAAACATGAACATATTCTATATATTCCATTCATAATACACTCTCGATCTCTACATATCGCTTGTACAGTCGGTTGATCAGATTTCTCGTATTTGAATTAATCTAATAATACGTCTAATAATACGTCTTTAATAATTACACGAATCTTGGACAGAAAATAAGTATGTTTATATAACATACAAGTTTATATAACATACACATTTAATACGGAAAATTTCACGGCTAATTAATTAGATATTCCTATTTCACGATAATTTTTTCAGAGTTTACGTCTTACGTCGACGTATACTTGATCTTTTTCGCAAGTTGGACGTATCTCGCCGACGAAATATTCCGCAACTATTACACGCGACGGTAACGGCGGCGGAAGTGCCGCGAGCAGCGGGCCGTGGGCACTAGGTGCTAAAAGTATTTAAAAGTGTTAATCCTGTGACCGGGGAACGTAAGAATATAGACCCAAGGAAAATCCGGAGACTACACCGATGTCAACCCACGTTACCAATCAGCCGCGTTTGCGCGTCCTTAGACACTAATTTCTACGTGCGTTCTCATAGCGTATCTTTGTAGTCGTAGCATGTAAATGTCTAGCATGTAACTTCTAGATACGGTTGTATGTTTAGTCATTCTTTCTTACGAAACTTTTGTATAGGCCTTTTTGTAAATTATCCTCACACACTCGATCGCGGCTGTCAAAATGGATATCGCGGGATTGACGTTGAACGACCGATTTCAGAAATGCGTCTGAATCGAAGGATTCCGTGTGAAGCGAGTTCACGATTTATACGTGAAACTTGTTTTAAATTTGGAAAATCGTACCTAAAATATATAACATAGACATTGTAAACAACGGACTTATATCTTATCTCTGCGTTAAAATTTTCGATTTCGTCGGTCGTAAATTTCGAGAGAGAAAAGCTGAAAAATCGTTTTTTCTATGATACTTCGGTCCAAAGTGAAACATAGTTGAAAATTTAGTCAAGTTATGTCAGCCCATATACGATCGAGGTTCGATCGATGGGATAGTGGTCTCCGGACGAGTCGAGGGTGCGAAACCGTGAAACTAACTACTAATGTAGACATGTGAGAAGTCGCTGATGAAGAACAGAACCCTTTAGTAATATCTAAACTTAATTGTAATTATTATAACGATACGTACGACTGTGGTAGCTATGCTAGTACCTGTTATTGTTAAAGAAAAATTGACAGTGATGTGAATAAGATAGAGATGATCGAAGAAGAGGAAGAGATGCCGCTGGAAAAACGAATTACAGCACAGTGCCTCAGTGCGTATCGAGAGATTTGTTAACCAACTCTAGAATAAATTTCGTATATACCGCAAAGATTTTCTAGTTAATATTTTCATTCAAGTTTTGATAATTTTATCGCAAAAATTATGAAGTTAATAAATATTAAATAATTGTTGACTTGAAGAAAGTCAATTTAGTAGAAAGATCTACTAAACATATTTTTTATAGGACTCGATGATATTGATTTGATAAATGAACTTATAGTTTATCTTTTTTATATAGATGTTAGCTCGTTATTCTTTGATGATACGCACTTGAGTCATTATGCAAAAAAGTTTCGCATCGCGTTCCGTCATTGAGCCTCATGAACGATTTATCTCGAACGATACTTTTTGCCTGCGTTTTGACGTTCTTCATTTCCATCGCCCCACGTCAACGTACGTCGTTATGTCGCGTCTCGGTAAAAAGACATGGCATTGTTTATAAATTTTTTAATCGCTTACACACGATTGGCTTCAACTTAAAAGTGACACAGATTTTTCATACTTCTCGGCGATGAAAATCAGATCGGAAATCCGTCAGTCATATTTTTCGTGTCGCGATTCGACACGAGTAACGTTTCCCACGCGAGAGAAAATCCCGCGGATGAGCATGCGAGAAAGGAAAAGAGGAAATGCTTTCTTTGCGATGTAAGATCGCGAAAGTTTCGACAGCCCGTGGTCGCACTTGGCTGACATTTCAGGCAACAGGACGGACGATGACGACAACGTTGAAGTCGAGGAGACGATGAAAGGAAGTCGGTGGGCGCGGAAACTTTTAAAATCATCGCGACCGCGGAAACTTTGCAGACTTTAAACGGGTTTCGTCCGGACTTTCGAACGGCACTCGAATGCGAATAACGCGACCGGCCGGCCGGCCGGCCGGTCGGTGGCGTTTATAAAAACCGACGACTTACGGTCGGGTACGCGATCCAAAAGTTTTGCGCTCCAGCGAATTCCATCGCGTTATTCACGAGGCGATGGAAAGGGGGAGTAACGGAGGGAGAAGAAAAGACGGAACGCAATATGCGAAACAACGAGGGAGAGAGAGAGAGAGAGAGAGAGAGAGAGAGAGAGAGAGAGAGAGAGAGAGAGAGAGAGAAGAAGAAGAGAACGAGAAAGAGTGGCAACTCAATGCAATAAGTCGCGAATCAAATGGATCTCGGCTTGAAACGAGAGGCTCAGATTAGCGAAGAATCAAACACGATGTATACTCTTTAAAACAAACAAACAAAAGTGAAACTAAAAGACGAGAGAATAAAGGAGGATCTGCTAAACTAGGAGGCGCATATAATATGCGCAACGGGGCGCGAATCAACGCGAAAGAGAGAGAAAGGCGAAGAAAGAAAGACGGAAGTTAAATGAATCTAATACTGATAGAGCATACACATTGAGATAAATAAAAACATATAGTATTATATACGTTTTATGATACGATTGTATGAACACTTTGTAAGCAAAAAAAAAGTTACGCATAGTTTTCCATATCCCATAATGAATGTAATTCGTTGAAAGGGAAAAAAGTTCTGACAGAAAAATAGGCATAAGTATACACGGTCCACGAGCGTACATACTTACAAAACACACACATACGTACACACACACCACACACAGACGAATGTTCAGGAGTTGTACATGACAAGCGCGCGCGCACGGACACATACACTCGGTTTCGAAGTCACTCGGGTACACACAAGAATTTATAAGAAAAAAAAGTCAGTAATCTGTCTTTAAAGTATCATGTGTCTATAAACTATAGCGATCGATATTGTCTCTTACATAAATGGCAAAAAAAATTACAAATAACCGTGGTAATGTCGTGTAAGGTAGCGATAAACAAACATTCTGCAATATAATGACATAATATATATTCTTACATTTATAATGGCGGAACATGAGGGATATATGTGACGAAAGCAGACTGCGGGAAGCCCGAAAGTCATGTAAAAATGCGTGTCGAGGAATAATGGACGACGCCATCGCGAATTGAATCGGTCTCCTTCCCTCGGAATCATCCTGAAAGAGAGAAAGAAGAATGGCGTATTCCGATATTGCCGCATGCGCATGGAGATATCACACGAGATACACATGAATATACACATAGAAAGCGCGAAATGAATATACACACGAAGCACACAAAGAGAGATCCAAAAAAAAAGAAAAAACTATCGATATCTACAAGTAAATGAATTAA